CAACGAAGGCTAAATTTTCAAAATTAGGCAGCTAAGCTGTGTCTGCAAAAAAAATAGGGCTAGATTTTTCACACAAGTTGTCCCATTGGGATGCAGCGGCATGTATGACACTGCAAATGACTGGAACCCTTTCCAAGGAGCATTTATTTGTCCTGTAGGGTGAAGTCATGTGAAACTAACTTGTAAAGATCCGAAAGGTACTTTCAGTCAATGCACAAGTGGGCTTATAAATATCATACAGTACCAGTTTTGTACTGAATTTGAGGATAGCAAAAGAGGATCAGATGTCTTTTTTCCAAAGGAACCCCTGCTTCTTGCCATAATAAATATATTTTACAAATGCTATACAGTTTTTGTAACAAGACATAATATGCTAAATACCATTCATTTTAATACAAAAGTTATATTTATCAATTAGCTAGTCAAAGTTGGCTGGCAGTGGTTTCAACTGCTGAGTCAATTTTACCCTCTCAGGGCCTGACTGCAAGTTATCAATCATCTTAAACTCTCTTTGAAGCCAGTGAGAGTTAATGGTGCCCAGCACCTCTAGAAGTCATTCAGCACTTTGTAGGAATGTGTCCATAAACACATGAATCATTGAGTATGGGTACAGGATATTTGAGAAGAACATTAGTAACCATGATCTTGTTCTCACACATTGCTGTGAATGGACAAATTCACATTGTGGCAAAATGCTTCTTAGGCCTATATTACCTCATTATGCTGTGGATCCACCATAGAAGATCAGTGCAGACAGCCAGTACATAAACAGCAGAGAACCCAATAATGTGATGGAAACTATCCTTGACTGCCCATTTCAGCAGAAACAGGATGGATGTCCGATTGTGCTGTTGCAAAGCATCAAGGAATTAAGTAAAACACTGAGGAAAAGAATGCTAGCATATATGACTGATCTCCCAGCTACTCTTTGGAAAGTAGGCATCCAGCCACATGTATAGCATTGAGAGGGAGCAAAATACTTATGTTAGTACAGGAAGGGAATGAATTCTCCTTGTTTTTCTCTCCAGTAGCTCGGAGACAGGATCACATAGATCTAAAATGCATCTTTTCTGTGAATTGAAAGTTTGAATATACGACTCCTCTGTCATTCCCAGTTCGAGCAGATGTAGACTTTATACCAGGGGGACATATATCCCTGAGGGTACGCAGAGGTCTTCCAGGGGGTATGTCAACTCATTGAGATATCTGCCTAGTTTTACAACAGGCTTCATAAAAAGCACTAACAAAGTCAGTACAAACTAAAATTTCATACAGACAATGACTTGTTTAAACTGCTCTGTATACTATACACTGAAATGTGAGTACAATATTTATATTCTAATTTATTTTATAATTACATGGTAAAAATGAGAACGTAAGCAATTTTTCAGTAATAGTGTGCTGTGATACTTTTGTATTTTGTGTCTGATTTTGTAAGCAAGTAGTTTTTAAGTGAGATGAAACTTGGGGTATGCAAAACAAATCAGACTCCTGAGAGGGGTACAGTTGTCTGGAAAGGTTGAGAGCCATGGCTTTAATACCATCTTAGTTGCAGCTCTACTCCTTATCTTTAGGTTTAACCAGAGAACTAAGTATATAATGCTACAGATGTGAATCTTTCCTTTAATGTGCGTTTATGTCAGTCAGTTTACATGTAATGGTTCCTGTATCCTAGTATAAATAAATAAATAAAATGTTTTGAATGTATGTGTTCACTTCATTTTCAACATATTGTTCTTCGTTAGTCTATCTCTACACTGTATTTTTGCATTTCTTCTAACCCTCAGCCAGAGCTGTTCAGAGCTTACAGTTTGGTATTTAAATATTGCCTAAATAAATTAGTTGACATTCAGTTGTACTAATACAGAGTATGTTCGTGCAAAGCTTGAAGCTAAAGGATGTGTGAAGGGAGTTCTATCAGTTGCATGAATGTTGTTTTTTAATACTGTGTGTTAGCTGATAATCAGTGTTCAGTGTTGCTCAATATGGATTAGATTAAATTAACTGCTTGATCGCCAGCATAGGGTTTTTTCCTATGAAAAATATTTCCCCAAATGCCTGTTGTAATGCACTGAATTTCACTGTAATTTACGGATATATAATGTAGTCCCCAGAGGGGTCACATAGATATTTTGGATGCTCCTAGGGGACTGACAGGGTTAACTACCCCAAGATGTCCGAAATTAGCCACTGGTAAGGAAACTAGATCTCCAAACAGATCATTCTAACAATTCCCCTTGCCTTTGTGGATTGCTACAGTAAAGAAACAGAAGAGAGGAGTGTACAATGTATCTGTCATGCTGTCAAAAACAGGAAAGTGTCCCATTTTCTCCCCTTTAGATACCCCCATGATGTACTCTGAGAGATAATCATCTTAATTATATCGATCTTTTGGGAATGCTGATAGGGTTAGATAATAATGAGCTGTGAACTGAGCAGGGGCAGCTATAATTCTTGCACTGTTATTTCCAAATTGTTTTCTAGTATTGAAAGAGCAAAATACACATGTCATAATTTGATGAATGGTGCTTCCTTGACTATGTGTTCTCTTGGTTCTCTACCTACATGTACTTGAATGTATATATTATTTAGATTTTCACAAATGGTAGGGGGGAGAAACACATCCCAGAATTTGTCTGAATGAGAATGAAATTTGGTACACTCGCCTGTGAAACATATTTTGTGAAAAAAGAGGCCACAAAAAGCCTATGTGGGCAGAGTACCAAGATTTTAGCTAGCAGTATAAATGTGGTTTGACAGCTATAGGCTAAATGCAGCCCATCCTCCTTCTGATTCACTGTACTCTATATTAAGTACAATCAGCAGACTAATGACTTTAAAGTTAAACATCCAGTGCTGTTCAGTATTGCCAACCCTAAGCATTCAAAAATCATGAGTCAGATCCCCACAATCCATTAAATTGGCTTTAAAATGATGAGATTTTTTAAAAATAGTAAATTTGGGGTACTTTTAATTTGCCATCTGGCCTTTGAGCCTTTAAAGGTCACATTTTCGAGTTTTTCTCAGCAACTATGAGGGCTAGAAACTTTTTTTTTTTTAAATCATCTGATTCCAAGATCTGAGGCTTTATGAAAAACAACAAACCCGGTAAGCATAGGCAATCCTGGATATTCCTCTCTAATGGCTTTGTAATTGCCTTGGTTTTTGGTTTTCATTGCTGGTGAATTCAATCTACAGGCAATTTCTGTTCAATTGCCAAGGGAGATATAGCTAAGAACTGACACACATATTTGATGTGTGTGTCTCTTTTTGATAAAGTATGAACATTTATATGCAAATGAGGGGTATGACATTGAGCGATGCTGCCGAGTGCCCTGAAGTCTCTAAATAAGAGGATCAGTGGAATTGATCAGTATATTGCAGGACTACTCCCTTTGCAGCTGCCTTGGGTTCCCTTTAGACTGATAACACAATAGTCTAGACTCTAGAAAATATTGTAATTGGCTTCTTGAATTATGTTTAACAGTAGGTTATATTAGATGCTGTTGTAGGATTGCTTGGCTGCTAAATTAGCCTTCAGTAAGGCAACTGCTATTTATATGTTCAATGGCACTTTTGTCTAGGAAAATGGATCTCACATACATCAGTGTAACGCCCTTGATTTACTTGTAGGTACTCATTATTTACGCCTGTGGAAGTGAAAGGACAATCAGGTCCATCGATTGTCATAGTTGTTTTCCTGGATAAGGACTGCAGCTCTGCAGCCTAACTATCCTCTGTAGTTCGAATTAGAATAATTTATCAATAAAAGGCATATGTATTCAACAGTACTCTACAGTGTTTTCTTAAAATGTAGTCTACAGTATTTTCTTAAAATCCATTGCTGCATTTTGTATGAGGGATTTGAGGCACTCCTTGTTGACTACTTAAAATAGAGGTTTGGCTGCCAGAATTATGCATTGATTAGAACGTCATTTTTTTTAATCTCCATTGGCTATGGTTATAAAGCAATAGTTGAACACACGAGTCCAATTCTGCTCCCAGTTACATCTGTGTAAACCAAGAGTAAATCTGCTGAAGTAATGGAGTTACTCCTGATTCACACTGGTATAACAGGGAGTGGAATTTGGCCCAGGTTTTGATTAACAGTTTTTTCCTTATGATAGCAAATTATTTTCATGACTGTCCAGCCTACATTTTTGAACAGCAGCCGTCTTGCAAGGATTTATAGATCTTTCCTTTGCTTCATGTAGGGGGGACTTCATTTTTTTTACATGATGCATTGCAGTGAATCTGTAGGTTAAGGAATTCCTTGATCATCACTACTTCTGATAGCTGCTGTGTATGAAAATGTTCTATAAAACTCCAGAATGTGTGTTAGAAATTGACGGAGGGAATTCAATAAAGTTGCAAGCTTTGGCAGGCCTCCAAGCTTAATTTATAGACTGGAGAAAAATGAGATTTCCATTGTCCTCCTTTTCTACTCTTAGGAATTGCCTTTTTTGTGTGCGAGTGTAAATTTATCATTTAGTTTACACAGAAGGTAGAGCCAACATTTCCAAACCACTGTATGTAAATATCAAGGCTTTTTTCCTTTCTACTGTTTTATAGTCTGAAGCGGATCGACAGGGAGCAATTTAATTTGGATCAAATGTTCATCGGGGTGGATCAGTGATACTTTCTCTCTACCAGCTATGGATTCTGGACTTAAATGAATAAATCAGTTATGCTTGTGTCGTACAGAACAATAGCTATTGTGTATATTTGCCAGCGAGGTGCTGTATGGCTCCAAAATATCTTATTCTTATCCTGGCTATATTAGAGCCTGTCTCTTTGCTTCTCTTTAAGTCATGATCTATATGCAGCTGTGATCACATATATTGTTTCTGCTAATTCTATGAAAGGGCAATGGGGGCAGCAAAACGTGCTCAAGAGCCTCTGGTAGATTCCAATTCTGTTTGCCTGCTGTGCTGTGTTACACAGAAAAACCAGCTTTTTAAAAAAAATCTGATAATTGAAAACCTATCTTGTTCTTACAGAATGGTTTTGCTGTTGTAAGGCCCCCAGGCCATCATGCTGAAGAATCAACAGCCATGTAAGTACCAGGGAATATTGCCCATCTTGGAGCACTAGGGTTACTGGCAATCACCTGCACTGTGTATGTCTCTGAAGAACTCTAATTGTTAGCAGATGACTGAAAAGGCTTTCTAGGTACTCCCAGAAGCAGATTTATGGCTTCAGAGATCTTATAGCATTTTTTTAAATGCCCTGAACATTATTTATAACTGTTTTCCTGACTGATTTGCTTTCTTATTTCTGTTCTTCTCTATTCCACAGGGGGTTCTGCTTTTTTAATTCGGTTGCAATTACTGCCAAATACTTGAGAGACAAGCTAAATATAGGCAAGATATTGATTGTAGATCTGGTATGTATTCTTGGCAAGCATCACACTTTCAGTGCATCTAGATAAAAGATAATGAATTTATATTTGTACGTCAGGCTTTCCTGCTTTTAATACTTACAAGAAATAAAGGCATGTATTTCCTTTGCATTTGGGAACTCATTAAAGCCAGGATGGCAGTACTGAAACTATAAACATCTATGTTTCACTTTAATGGTGTTAACTGCAATTTAATGAGAAGAAGGCACAGATCAGGGCAACATTTATGGTCCTTAAATGAATTGATACTTCCACTGTTAAAATAACCCAACAGAACCCAAGTTTACTTTTCCCTACAGAATACAGACTTTAAATAGTCTGATATGCTTTAAAGAATGCTGTTGCTTTGGTAACCAAATTGGCCACTTCCCCCATCTGCTTGTTGAGTAACATTGATATTATTAAAACAAATCAACAAGTCATTCTCTCTGAAAAGTTTTCAAATCATATATGCCAGCTTTGGATGATTCCCTGCAGGAGAGCAAAATGATTAAAAGACAATTTCATTGGATTAATCTAGTATTTTAATAGAATGCATTCTTACACAATAGAGTTCTAATTTGTTTAACTGATGGTTTATTTAAATACAGATGACATTTGGCATGTTGTCTATATTATTTTCATGAATAATGAATTGGAGCTTTGCTTCATACTTAAAGGATCAGCCCAATACACAGCCCAAAGAAAGCTGAATGTTGATTTATGAGCACCATTTTTGTTTTGCCTACAGTTCATGAGGAGGTGTAATAGGTTGTCTGACAAAGCATAGACAGGAAATGAACCCTGGCATCAAAACCTAACCTGTTACATCTGCACTTAATTAATTTTTGCAGGTGATAAAAGATTTAAAGACAAAATATGTTAAAGGTTTTTTGAAGTGCATGGCTTAATAGTCTAAATCTTGTTCATATCTGCACTCATAATTAAATCTTATTGTGAAGTCATGGCCTTGCCATCTAGCACTTTTGTTCAGTTAAGTGTTCATACTAGTAGTTAAGGAAAAAGAGAGGGGGGAGGGGAGAGTGTGAGCAAGAGAAATAGCAAATGAAGAAATATATGACTAAAATAAATATAAAAGTAATATTGATATTCTTGGAATAGTTTTCAAATATTTATCAGACGTTTTACCCTACGGTTTAGGAATGCACTTATGGAGAGAAAGAATAGCGTAAACATATTTCTGCAGAAACTCATCAGGATTTGTGAACAAATTCACTTCCACTGTGGTTTGTGTCCATTTGCTCACTGGGGTTATTCAGGTGATTAGGATTTACTAGCATGAAGTAAATTTTAAATTTATAAACTCCTAGCAAACCTATGCAAAGTTTAGATTCTGTGGATGTTTGCAGTGGAGATCTGCTTATAAGTGATACAGTCATCCAGTCCGGGAAGAGAATTATAAACATGAGGCCTATTTGATCAGTCTCCACTAAGAAACCCAGCTTGAATTTTGAATAGCAAGTAACGCTCAGCTCCACTCTGGATCTCCTCCACAAACATGTTGAGCTGAGATGGTACGGAGGGCTGGCACAGATGACTTCACCCCTGGAACAGTCACAGTCTGGTCTCTGATTTCCTCGAGGGTCAATGCAACGACGTGTTGCCCCTTCTATGAACATAGAGGCAAAGCCACAATCCAAATGTAACTAATTACCTATGAGAGCTCTAATGTCCATTCAGAGCAAAGGAGAATTGGCCTTAATGGTCTCACCTGAAAGGTAACATAGAATCACAGATATTAGGGGTGTGAAAAATCAACATCCTTGAAAAATGTTACTATGCTGACCTAATCCGCAGTATAGACAGTGCTATGTCTATGTAAAAATTCTTCCATCAACTTAGCTACCACCTCTTGGGGAGATGAATTAACTACAGCAATGGGAGAATCCCTCCGTCGATGCAGTGAGTGTCTATACTTACAGCAGTACAGTTGCAGCGCTGCAGCTGTGCCGCTGTAGCATTTCAAGTGTAGATGTACCCTGAGATTTCTAATTGACCTTCAGGGTTATATGTTTATAGTGGCTAGCAGAATGGGGCCCCAATCTGACTGAGACCTGTAGGTGCTACTGCAATAAAAATGTTAATAATAATAATAATAATAATAGTAATTAATAATATTCAGTCCAGTGCATTCCTTAATGTTCAGAATTGTTTTTGTATATATAATTTTAACTTCTCTGTTTTTCATTTTGAAATTTTCCTCTTCTTTTTACATCTACACGACAGAAAAAACACTTCACTTTCTGCTTTCCTTTTTTCATTCCTTCCGATGAATAAATCTCAATTTTTGGATTGATCCATAGTTTCTGAATAAGTCCTACATTTCATCCAAGAAAGGCAGGCTCATAACCGAGCCCATACTCAAAACATATAACTGATTAATAGTAGAATACACTATCCTCACCATTCAGGTATCTTTGTCTACTCAATGACATTTCTGGACTATTTTCATTGGCAAAATTTAAGTTTACAATTGAAAATTATTTTTGCAGTATAGAAGATCAAGAAGCATATAAAAGGCCCAAGTGTCTATTTTAATTCCTATAATTTAAAAATTGTCAGAGCAAGAACATATTAAAAAAATCAAAACCCACAACAGTAGAAGCCAACTTAAGAGTGGAGAGCACAGGCCTTTATAAAATTTATTTTTATGCTCCTTTAATTTGTATCTGGTGCCTAGAGATCACAGTGAATAGATGAATGATGAACAGATGGCAATTTTGTTGAATTTTTGAATAAAATATTTTTTGAAGACTATATATCAGCCCAGACCCAAGGACACTTGTTTGTAATGAAAATGCAGTCAAGGCATTAGGGTTGCTTTTCAAAATATTTTGTTTACTCTCCTTGCGGAATAGCTTCTTGAAATCTATATTTTTACTCAGATGGAGTAAAGAAGCAGAATCAACATCTAAAATCTTTCAGCCTCTTATAAGCTTCAATGTGGAAGTTTAAAAAAAAAAAAAAAAAAAAAACTTCAGTTTTCCTCCACCACAGTGCACCTGGGTTTTCCCTTTTCACTTATAAAACCCCGTATGTATCTAACCATATATTGTACAATGATACAACTGTGAAGAAACAAAACATAAATTTGAAAAGTTTAAACCATTATCCATTATCATATGCTCATTCTCTAAATATTTTTAAAATATTTTATTTAAAGAAAGAGATTTCCTGTGCACTGGTGTCTGGGCTGTTATATTATGTTTGAAATATGCAAATTGGCTATGGTCATTCCCCGGTTGTGGAAGGCACCATACTATCGGCTCTTCTCTGCCAGATGATTTAGTAGCTAATGAGATCATACTGCTATGCCTTTGACTGTTGCCGTCATGATTTTGCAAAAATGAAGTATGAAGTCCTTCTGCATCTGGCATCTTTTGATGTGGATCTAACTGCTGAGGGACTGCTAACTGAACTGAATGTTTCAAGAGAGCCAATTTACTCAGCTGGTCGCAAAGCCTTTGACCTCAGTAGTGGAACTTGGCAAATCAATGAACACACTTATGGTTAGTGTTCTGTCAAGAATTGCGAAAATGCTCTGTAAACCGTAGATCCTTCTGCAAAATACTAGTTTGTAGTTTAAACATTAGTCTTTCTTCAGAGGCCAGTGAGGCTAGTTAATTAAGCCTGAGGGGTTATGAACTGTTGGCAGTTAATAAGTCATAAAATTCCTCCATAAAACAGGATGCTAGATTCCATCACTGAGGCAAGGAGTACAAAGAGCCGGTGTATAAATATCTAATTGTACAAAAGGACTGGGATTTCTCAATGACTGCTCATCTGGAGTCTCCAGGGCACGCTCACTGTGGTTTCCTGATTTTTAGAAGCCAGTTTAAAAAATGAGTGCATTAAAGAGTAATTTGCCTGAAAGTTCAGGAAGTATAGGGGTGGTGGAGGGAGTGGGAAAGAAAAAAGAGGAGGGAGGGGAAGAGACACAGAGAGAGAGAGAGAGAGAGAGAACTTATCTCTACTCACCGAGTTGGACATTATTGCATTTGTCATCTATTTAATTTCCCCTTTAGGATGTTCACCATGGCAATGGTACACAGCAGGCTTTTTATGCTGACCCCAGCATCCTGTATATTTCCCTCCATCGCTATGATGAAGGCAACTTCTTCCCTGGCAGTGGAGCCCCAAATGAGGTTAGGTTTATTTCTTTAGAGACCCATTTTTATTTGCATCTTTCAGGTAATTGCTTTGCATGATTACCCCTAATTTTCTCGTCCTTCGCTGGTGCTTTAAATTACACCAGATTACCAAATTGTCCATAGGGACTGGAGGACCAGTGGAGAACAAGTGTATAACCCAGAACAGTCCTTGTCAAATAAGACTGGGCTGATTTGACATGGTGTTTGATGTTTGTTTCAAAAGCACACATTTGTATGTTTTCTTATTTTTTTCGTCTCCCCTTTTCCTGCTCCCCTCCTCCTTTGGCACTTTCCCCTGTCTTTTCAGGTTGGAAGAGGCCTTGGCAAAGGATATAATGTAAATATTGCTTGGACAGGTGGCTTGGATCCCCCCATGGGAGATGTAGAGTACCTAACAGCATTCAGGTTGGTACTTGTTTCCTTCTAAAAGTGCCAAAACTGGCAGTAGAGTGAAAGCTCACACAAGTAACAACTATAGTAATCCTGAAAGACGTAAAAAATGACCCAGGGTGGAACTCGCTTAAAATAACTGTTTAAGTAAAATGGCAACAAGACCACTAACTTTTACCTCTGACCTCTGTCAAGACTTGCAATTTGAAAAGTTATATCGAGAATATGCAACTTTATACCTGCACTATATAGCAAATATACTACAAAATATATAAAACTAGACTTTTTATAAAATTAATGATTCTCGGAAACATTATAGGTTATTTAATAAACAATCTATTTACTTGTTCTGGCCATCAGCTCAAAATATACAAGAAAATGTTTGATGATTTAATCAGTCACTGATAAACATCATTATTATATGATAGCAGTAAACCAACTTTACATCTACCTCCTCACATCTACCACTATTAAAGTTAAATGTAAACACTTTTACCCGGCATGAGAAAAATACTTAGTTTTAACCTAATTGTAATTGTATAGAAGTATAGAAAATACCAAGTAAAATATAATATGGGCCAAATTCTTCACTCCTTACTCAGGTAAAACTCCCACTAAAGTTCATAGATTTGGCCAAGAATGGTATCTTCTATGCAATACAATAAGGTATTATTTGCTTTAAAGTAAGTAATCATAATATCATTGAAATATCTCATTCTAAATGGATCACTCTTTCAGCCATGAAGCATTGGCTTTTGATAATCTATTTTCATGGGGCCAGAGGAGAAAGAACCTATTTAAAACATGCCCTACTGTACTCACTTTCAGCAGCCCTACATTTCATGTATCATTTCCTTTCACAGTAAAGCAGAATGCATTTTGTCTTATTGCTGTGGAAGGGCTTTGGTGAACAATAGCCAGTCAAGACTGGGCAAACTGTAACTGCTGGGAAATACCAGGCTTCAATTTGTAATGGCTGCAGTTCAAAAATGGCAGTGAGACCACTAACTTGTACCTCTGACCCTGTCAAGACTTATAATTTGAAATGATATATCTAAAATATATAACTCTAAACCTGTACTGTAAAGCAAATATACCACAAACATATAAAACTTTTTTTTCTGTAACACTCTTGGGTGGTCGTGAAGTGGTATGTACAGTATCCAAGAAGGTTTTGTATTTAGACATCACACAACTGAATTCAAAGCCTAAACCCCAAACATAGAAATAGCTAAGAAAATCACAATCTGTTTTTGTAAAATGGGTTTTAATTTTACTTACATCATTTGCCTTATTTAAAACAGTCTAACCAAACAGCCAGTTATTTCAAGGGACATTATCAAGGTGGTAGGCCCCAAAATTTGACTCCCTTAAAAGTTTAATTTACTCTGTTGCCAAGGTCAGTCTTGTTCTTTGTTTGAGATTTTATAAAAGCCAGGAGATTGGCTGACTCAGGACTAATACTGGGCTACAGTGCTTCTCACTTCTATGTTCCTGGTTCAACTCCAGCCCAAGTTGGTAGTGAGTGAAATTGTTACCATATTATGGCTTAAGTGAAATGAGTTGGTGGTCGTCTCAGCCCTTTTTAATGGGTAGAAGTTTACATCACAGAGACCACCACCATACTTATCATTGACAGCAAAGACAGGAAATTAATGATCCAGCCTAAATCTATTCCCAACAGGTCAAGTTTAAGGCACATTCATGAACACTGTGGAGAAGCTTGTATTGCTCCTGTCCATACTGTGCCAGTATCATGACTAAACAGAGGACTTCAGTCTCCTGGCTGGCAAACCAGTACCTTTCTGGAGCAGTAAATTGAAAGGCAAACTTTAGAAAAAGAAAAATATTATTGTTATTTATTAAAGAATAAATAATTTTAGCAAGTCTGCAACCATACAATAACAACTTGTGCCCAACTTTGATTTAAAAAACCCAGACTTTTATAAATTTAATTTTACTATTATGCCTTCACATAAAAATGTAGGCAGCTTAACTCATTTTAGCTAGCTGTTATGTCAAAATTTGGTATTGCCATTCTAAACAGTGTCCCTTTAAAACCCATAGTTATGTCCAAATAATGTGGATACCACTTCTCATTGTTCTAAAGTTATTATTATTTTATTTTGAAACTCTTTTTGTGAATGTGATGCTAATGAACAGAATGGGATTGTTTGCAATGGATACTGATGTCCTTCATTTATCTAAAAGAGCAGCTGTAGTAGTAAAAGTGACCCTTCAGTACCACACCCATGTGCCTCAAACCCTCCCTCTATAGAATTCCTTTAAGAATAAGAGCATAATTTAGTCTATTTGCCTCAGTAATCTTTGCCTCTCTCTTGAAACTGCCATCATGAATACAATTAGTACTAATTGTGATGATGGTTTAGCATAGTTGTCAATATAGCAAGCTGAATGGAATTTGGAGGGAGGAGCACAGGTTTCAGGAAGGAGGAGTTTGGATGAGGCATCATAAAGGCAGTCTGTGTGCTCTTTGCTCGAATGCTAGCTGCAGTTACAGCATCTCTGTATATAGTTGTCTTAATAAAGAGCCAGTTTAGTTCTTCTTTGAGTGCTTGCTCATGTCCATTCCATGTTAGGTGTGTGCACACCTAAGATGTTTTGCCAGATTGCTGCCAGAGATTTTTCCCTCAGTGGTATTCATTGGGCCAGCTCTGACACCCTCTGGTGCCGCACGCTTATGCACCAGTATAAGGGGCACTGCTGGCCCCACACCCTCTTCCTTTTTATTGCCCGTGACAGTTGCTAGAATGTCTCCTCTTCCTTTGGCAAGGTGATTATCTCTCTGTTTCATAGTTTAGTTTTAGTGTAGATATTGACAATACTTTTAGTGTGTATAGTTGTATCCCCTCCCCTTATTGCTAAGGGGCTCCCTTTGTCTCTAGGCTGGGCAAGACCCTGTCCCCGGGCTTCAAACCTTGTGCCTCCTATGGCAAGCCTATGCTCATGAGCGACCAACACTCGAGTTGTCTGAAGTGTCTGGGAGGATCTCACATGTAAGACCACTGCCAAATTTGTTGGGACTTTAAACCTTGCACAAAGAAGGCCACAGTGATCAGACTTAAGACTATCCTAATGGGAGCGGCTTTTAGACCGGCTTCAGAACTAAGCCCCTCAGATTCAGCACTGAGCACGTCACCCTCAGTGCAAAGTGCTCTTCCACCACTGTGCGCATCCCGGCACTGCTCTCCATTCCTGGTGCCAAGGAAGAAGCACAAAAAGCAGCGCACCAACAGAGGGCGCCCCAAAGAAAGGCAAGCAAGGGGAAGGTGGTGGAGTGTGACTCACGTTGGGCCATTCCTCCATCCCCGGTCCCATGGTGGCACCATCGACTCTGCTGAGAACGTTGAGTCCAATGTACTCCATCTGATTCGAGGAAGCACTTCAGGCCCCAATAGCCACCATACTTCTCAGCTCTGCCTCCAAGACAGGACCCCTATAAGAGAAAAGAGAGAGGTTACAAGTGCAGTCAACCCCTTCCGTCTACCTCAACCTCACAGTCAGGGTCACATAGGTACTCTGGTGGGCCCAAGCAGGCCTTTAGAAGGTGCGCCCCAGGGTTCCTGCTTCAGATCCTGCCTCCCCTTTATTTTTGGACTGACAATCCCACTTCAGCCTAGCATAGTCCTGTATAACATTGAACCACTGGATGCTAAATACTGTGGCGATTTGTTATACCATGCAATTTTTATCCACCCCTCCCTCCCACTCCATTCCCATCACTCTTCATGGACCCTTCTCATGAGCAACTCCTTGCCCAGGAGGTGCAGACCCTCCTATGGATGGGGCTGTAGAGGAGATACCTCAAAACTTGAGAGGGAAGGTGTTTTACTCCATTATTTCCTTCATCCCATCCTGGACCTGCATTGCCTCAACAGATATCTCAGAAACTGATGTTCTGCATGGTCTTCCTGGCCTCCGTCATTCCCTCCCTGGATCCGCCCTTGACTTGAAGGATGCTTACTTTTATATTTCTATCTTCCGAGGCCACAGAAGATTTCTCAGGTTTATTGTAAACCAGACTCATTATCAATTCACTGCTCTTCCCAAATGCCTGTCCCCAGCCCCCCAGGTTTTCACGAAGATATTGTTGCCTGGAATAATGCCTGAAAGACTGGAACAGCTGATAAGGTGTTTGATGAGTGCTGTGACCCAAACAGAATGAGAATGTAGAAAGATACTGATTTTTTTTACCTGAAACCAAGAAGCAGAAGAGGGGATAAATTCTTAGGTTACATCCACATTGGTGACATTAAACATTACCTAATTAAAGACAAGTTCTCAGCTTACAGAAATGATTGTTGAAAGAAACAGAGAAATCCTTAGAGAAATGCCTCCAAATAGCAAGGGCAGCTAAATGCTCAGGGAAAGGATCAAAACAATAACAACCACTAGTGTAGAACAGGTAAACAGAAGCAGTTAAGAGAATGCCAAGTTAAGAGGGTAGTTCACTACAACAAAGCCAAGGACCTCAGGCTGTTACACACTGGTGAGCAGGTCTGAGTCCAACTGTCATATAGTCCAAAAGCAATGGGAAAAGGCAACTATTCAAGCTACAATGGGACTGGTTGTATGAAGTAGCAACAGACTCAGGACATTGATAGAGATGAAACCAAAGTAATGTCGGAGTAGCAGCAGTCAGCTGGCACACCCAGACAGACAGGGCCAAAGCCAGGACCAAGAGGACATAGAAAGAGCATCAGCTTTCAGCTGGTCTGATGTTGACAAATGAAAAAAAAAGAGGTATATGAGCAACACAGAGGACCAAGATGGTGCCACCCAACAGAATGAAGGCAGTGACAGGGTAGAAGCAAATCCCCCTCCAATAGCGATAATACAAACAGCCCTCAGAGCTCTGGCTTCTTCCCAGAATTGCCCTAGGCACATTTTTTGAAGTGTTGGCAACTATGGCGTAGTGTCCATTATTGTTTGATTGACCACTAATTTCACAACAGAGGCCCTTCTAAACAATAATGGCCATAGAAACAGACACC